TGCCTAACAATGTGCTTGTGAGATTAAATAATACTTACAAAGATGAAAGTTTGCCACGGGTCAACACATGAAACAAAGATTGTTACAAAGACAAACCAAACAAGAGCGCTTACTCTGCTCGACCAGGAAACTGATGTCTTACTTTGTTTCCCCTTATATTTTAGCACAACAAACAACTATAGCTTATTATCACACTGGGCTGAAGAAGGCGCTGCGGGGCCCAAACACGCTGGTCCCTTCTCTGTTAAAGGACTTTTATCAGAGTGTCTCGGATTTCACCCTGTCTTCATTTCCCATGGAAAAAGGGAATCTTTGTTTTTAAATGTAACTTATTACATAGCATTTAAGAACGTGTTGCATTTTTTAAACTTATAAATGATTGAATTATGTCTTTAAACTTGTAAACATGACACCTATATTACAAATAATCTTATTTGCTGGTGCCACAGCATTATTTTGTTGTGGAAAAAATGTTGGAGAGTTATCAAAAAGTAATAAACAAAGAACTTGTCATAATAAAAATCTGGTTGGTTCAAATGACTTTGTTCTAAACAAAGAAAAAAAAAAACGAATACATACTATTCAATGCTAAAAAGAAAAAAATCTTAAATAGTGTATCGATAAGACTAGACGGGGGAAATTCAAAAGGGTAAAAAGAAACAACATTTTTGGGAGTCATCATCGTTGAGGATCTGAGTTGTAAATCTCACAGACACTGTACATAAGGAAAATTAGCCAAATCACTTGGTGTTTTACACTTTCCAAACCACTCAGCATTACTGACCTTAGATAATACAATGATTATACCGACCTCACCTATGTTGTCAACATTTGGAGACAACGTTTAAAACACATACACTGCCTATAGTTATTTTACATAAAAAAGACCAGAAGGAAAATATATCGAGATTCATCAAATCCTGTTTTTGAGTGCTTGGTGTTAAAATTGTATGTTATAGTGGATTATACTATTTATCATACATTGTATAAGGTAAATTGGAACACATTAGCAGAAAACATCTACGAAAACACCGCTCAGCATTACTGACCTTAGATACTACAATGATTATACCGACCTCACCTATGTTGTCAACATTTGGAGACAACGTTTAACACAGCCTATAGTTAAAAAAGACCAGAAGGAAAATATATCGAGATTCATTAAATCCTGTTTTTGAGTGCTTGGTGTTAAAATTGTATGTTATAGTGGATTATACTATTTATCCTACATTGTATACGGTAAATTGCAAAACATTAGCAGAAAACATCTACAAGAACTTTGGAAAAAAAAGACAAAGTCGATACAATCTGTAACTGATATCTTTAATAAAAACTAGATTCAGAACTAAAGTCATGGGAAGAATGGTCTCTGGAAGGAATCAACTTAACAAAGACATTAAAGAGTCAAAATAAAAATCATGGTTTTTAAGAAACAACAAAACTACTATACTCAATAAATATGAGAGTGTTACATAATAAGAAAATCTGGATTTTAATTAATGGTTTGTGTTTTGGTAAAATGTTGTACATAATGTTTAATTACTGGTTTGTGTTTAGGTAAAATGTTGTACATAATGTTTAAGGTATGTAATATGGTTGTTTAATCAGTCTTTAAGATGACTATTTATGGTAACAGGTATCAATTGTATATCTGAGAGATGTACGCCTTTAAATCATTTGATCTCCAGTAAAAAGAAAACCTGTACCAAGGACCCTAGTTTCACATCTACCTACTCTGTTTCAAACTGTGTACATATATGTATCTAGGGTTCTTATTTTTATTGTATTGGACAATTAAATTGCTATAGAGACTACTACCTTATGAATAGGGTTAGGATTATAACGCATTAATTACGATTGATAAACGCGACTAAAAATATATGTGTTTTTGCTCCACGGAACCTTTGTCATCAGGTGAGTTTCACACGGATCGTTCATACTGGTGTACCAGTTGGAAAATAACAACTATCCCCCTATTGTTTTAGTGCAACACTCTGGGCCACATGATAAGGTTATCACACATACACACACACACACACACACACCTAAGTGTCGCTCTTTCAGAGTTTGGATGCAGTACCTCTTGTTACAGAAAAAATAAAAAAAACACCTATACAATACAATACAATTTAGTCTTGTATAGCCCTAAATCACAACTGTAGTCATCTCAGAGGACTTACCAAAAACTACTGAAAATCACCAACACAGATCGGAGAATCAGCAGTTAAAACACATAAAGACTATAGACCAGTACATGTTGTAGAATATTAAAAGTGTCCTGGCTCATCACCACAGTCCTTCTAGTTTCTCAATAACTGTGTAACAAACCCATCCTGGATCAGCAAGGAAAAACTCATATGAAAAAAAAAAAGTTTGAGAAAGGGATCTGCTTCACTCTAGTGATTCTTTATAGTCCTCCCACCGCCTTCATCATGATTCGCCTACACTGTTTGTTCTACGTTGATAGGCCGGGGCAGGTCCATCCTACCACCCATTCTGATTTGTTGTTAGTACTCCCTCCAAACCGTCATCATGATAAGGCTATCACACACATACACCTAAGTGTCGTTAACAGGGAGGACCTGTAGATTAATTAGTTTATTGACCTGTCTTTACTAACTGTTTGTTTTAGAATAAACATGTGCTATGATAAACCGTGATCATAAATCACTTTAGACAACTGTGAAGCATTTACTTTATCACACACACACAGGGTCAACAGAAGCTCACTCATTACATATTCAAAAACTCTTTGAAAAAAAAGTGCAGTAACACTTTTTCACCACTTGCTCAAGAGCGCCGTCTCTTTTCTGGGGATTTTAGGGTGCAGTACCACCTTTTCACCACTTGCTCAATACCGCCGTCTATACTATCTACTAATGGATGGTGATTGGGGATTGTGTTAGTACCGTGTGTGAGAGAATGGAAAAATATCTGAACTCTGAAGCAGCAAAAAGGTGCTAAATAAATAAAAATTACTCACTTACTTACATAACATGTTGTCTAATGTGAAGAAGACTGCAGGTTATGGTCCAATGTATTCGTAAGGTTTTACTCTTACGACATTCTTTCTGCTGGGACAATCACTATGAATAAATGGTGGAAAAGTTAAGTACCCCACCCCTAAGCATTATGAATTCCATTGTGTATTGTTAGTAAAAAAAAAATATATATATATATTACACCAGAGGGTTGTAGGTAACAGTCCTGTTTCACTGCCCATAACAGCTTCTTTGCCGCTCTCATCAATACCTCCAGTAGTCCACCATTGAACAAATTACCGGCTAATTTTAATAGCAACCAGTTAAAAGTCCTGCCCTTAATTCTACTGTAAGAGCAATAAATCGTCAGCTCTGGAGTTAATTAAGAGTCGCCTGAGAAGCATGACTGCACAAGCTTTCACAACATTGCCAGCTTTTTGCTTTTCTAAAACCTTTTCACATTTTTGCAGCTGGTAGGATTAGGGTTGACGTGGTCTACAACTGTGACATTTATGACTTCACTTTATACAATACTTCAAGTAAATTAAAGCTGGGGTACCTAACTATTTTACCATCAATAACACACGTTGCTTGTTGAGTCGTGTTGTATATATTGTGAACAAATCAGACTTGTATGCCGTCTTCTTTTGCTTATTTGTAAGTGAGAGCCGTGTTAGTCTTGTTGAGCTGAGAGCTGATTGGCTGATTTACTTTACTGTCTGAAAAAAACTGTCTCAAAGTTGTGATTGAGGCAAAAACTAGTGATGGAGGCCAAATGCAAAGAACTGCTGTAATTAGATGGATTTCATTAACCCCTTCATGTTTCTTTTTATGTATTTATGTACTTCTGATTCTTTTGCTTTGTTATGTTGTTTGTGGTATGGTATTTGAATCTGTAGCACTTTGAGGCTTCCTGGAAATGTAAGGTGCAATATAAATAAAATGTATCATTATTCTTATTACAATATCAATTTGAGGGTTGATAGTTAGGTTCCCCAGCTTTAACTACTTTGTTACGGTTTTAACTTGTCTTGATTTAGTCCTGGTTTGAGTCTTGGTGCAATTGTGAGTTTAGTCAACGTTTGATCTAGTTTTGTGGCGCTTGCTTCCATGGCTATCAAATAAATAATCTAGAATAGAAAGTTAGAAACCGAACTGAATGCCTTGTTCTTGAACTAGTTTGATTCTGTCCTTTGACCAAACCTTAATTACTTTTTTTTTTACCGAGCTCAGTAGTAGCTCTTTTCTGTGTTCCTACAATATCCTTTTCTTCTAATACATCGTTGATAAATAGTCTGTTGACGGCCGTATATTGGTGTCAGTGTAAAGCCATCGTTGGAGATCATAGTAATTGCAAAGTTGCTGCGTCAAGACGTTTCTTCATTACTGTTTGCAGGTAGTGGGAAGTATAAGGGTAATGTGTCTTCTTGCTGATGATGCAGGTCGCATGTTGTATTTTTAGACGGAGTCCGTTTTCATAAGCGCACTATTACCTTGGTTTGGATGAGCAGAGTGGCAGCTGGGCGGGCCATGGGGTCCGCACGCACTCTGACTGATTATCGGAGCAGAGAAAGAGGGTGTCGCAGTGTTATCAGCTAATTCCACAAGGGCCAGAACAACAGCCACGCTACGATAGATACGAAACGGCAATGAAAGCCAGCCCCCTCACGCAGCGAGGAGAGAAAGTACGCCAGTGTCCTTAATAGAGTACACTCCAGCATGTCAGCACCTTACATCTCAGCTTTTTGTCAAATGTACTCTTTGCCCCTGGCGTAATTTAGTCCTCACACCAGCGCAGTCCTTGAAACTGTTTTTATAACCAGTTCACGACACAAAAGGGCAAAGTCAAATTAAGAAGATTAAATCAGGAGTACTTAACTTTGATACCACTATGTAATAAAACACATTTTGTAGACTTTCAGATTGGTTTTGATGTAAAGCCTGTTTTATCCTGGTCCAAGTTTACTTTTTTATTATCAATTTGAGTAATTCCACAAATGGGCATTATCTTGTTTTTAGGAGAATGAAGCTTATGCCATCGAGACGTTTGGCAGCACAGGGAGAGGCGCGGTCCACGACGACATGGAGTGTTCCCACTACATGAAGAACTTCAACGTGGGACATGTGCCAATAAGGTTTTCTGTCATCGCTGTTTCATCCATCTGTTCAGTTACTATAAACTATTTTTTGTCTGCCTTCGAATGGGTTGACTGCTAAGATAGATGTTTAGTAAGAATTATCCACTTCCACCACTAGATGGGTAGAAGTCCAGGCCATTTCTTATTCCACTATACAAGTTTATCTACATACTGTTGTAAAGTACTTTATAATACATTATTTCGTATTCTAAAACATGTAAATAGTCTGTGTTTAAGAACATCAAGAAGAAGAGAAAATGCGTAATAGTTGCCCTTTAAATCTGTCACAGACTTCCAAGGGCTAAACACCTGCTCAACGTCATCAACGAGAACTTCGGGACGCTGGCGTTTTGCCGGCGCTGGCTGGACCGTTTGGGCGAGAGCAAGTACCTGATGGCGCTGAAGAACCTGTGTGACCTGGGCATCGTGGACCCCTACCCCCCTCTGTGCGACATCAAGGGCAGCTACACGGCCCAGTACGAGCACACCATCCTGCTGCGGCCCACCTGCAAAGAGGTGGTGAGCCGGGGCCAGGACTACTGACGCATGTTACTATAGCGACGAAAAGAGAGTGTGGGAAATATGCAACACGCACTCACAGCATTTTTTTAATCAAGTAAATGGTTGATGTCAAACGGCTAAACCCAAAATGATTCAAAGTAATTGTATTAAAGCTGGGGTACCTAACTTTCAAATCACAAAACATGGAGCTGTATTAGGAACTACATCAAAACAGTTTGGTTCTCTCACTAATGTTCACATGCATGTATTTTTAGGCTCTGTCACATATTTATAAAAGCTTTTTTCAGGCAGAAAAGTGAAAGATGAGAAGTCCGCCCTGTCTCAGCCAAAATAGTGACTTCAAGAGCTCTTTCTTTCAAGTATGCAAAAGATAATGTTGTGTTCTGATTTACACACAACATTGTATTTTCTGCTGGGACAAAAAAATGTTGGTATACCAGCTTTAAACTTTCCAATCTTAGGCAATAATGAAATGTGCAAAAAATGACAATTATGTATTATTCAGAGAGTGCTGTAATTTCTTTCTGGCGTTTTTCTTCTCAGAGTTTGGACTTGTTTTTCGTTGTGTATATTGTTAGTTTGACTCACGAAGGCATGATATGAAAACTTTTGGGCATAGCTGTAGCTTCTTATTAGTTTATTTATTTTACATTAAGATTACAAGAGTAAATATGAAGACAGTAATTGTTGCCATTTTATTTAAACTTCTTTGTGTTGCTTAAAATATGCAAGATGATGATATGCAAAAAGAAAATATGCAACAAAAGGATTGTAAAACAATAAACCTTAAAATGCTCTGCTCTGTGAACATGGACTCAAGCTGCCATGAAATGTTTATATTTCTATATTTATTTGAATTTAAGTTTTAAAATAAATTGTTATATATCTGTTTGACTTTTTGGTTACTTTTTGCCTAGAGGGTGCTGCTACAATATTACCAAAATAAAGTATACAGAATATTTATATTTAATTTCAATGGTCCAACAAAGTCTAAAAACAAGGATGAGGTAATTTATTTATTAAACAAAATACATGTTGATGCAAAAATATTATTGAGAATTTGTGGTAAGGCACATTCATGTGAGAAAATATATAATTTTGTCCTCATAGAAAAGGCAAAGACCAGAATCCACAATGTCTCACAAGAGTAATATTTAAGCTTTATGTTTGTTTGTCACAACCCAGCTCTGCAAGGGTGAGAAAGATATTAAAAGCCAAGGTGTAAAATGGTAAAATAAGTAATTTGATAACAGGGATGTAAAATATAAGTTAACAAAACCAAATGGGTAAAATATAAATACAAACGCAGATGACAAACAGGTTGTGAATCAAAACGGGTGCTCCAACAAAAGCCAAGTGTCACATTAAGAAAACCAAAAAGACAAATGAAAACCGGACTGACGGAACACAACCCTTGATCAAAACAAGCGTCTCCCAAAGTCATGCTGCCCCACAGGGACTTTTACACAGGACATGTGGGCAAGTGTGGAGTGTGGAAGGGTCTGACTCCAGGTGAGGAAGCAGGATTGGCCAGGTGTGATGCTGTCCCTCCAATCAGAACCTGGAGGAGCCGTGAACTTTCAGGAAGTGGAAGAGCCACTACTCCCCCAATCACACACAGGACTCCAGAGACAGGGGACATGGGGCGAAAGTTGCATCACCCACACGAAGCACACACCACATGCACACACAAACACACAAACTCACAGACAAAATGCTAAAATGAGCAAATCTGTGGCCCTGATAAAGAGTCATTTACTGTATAAGACACCAGGCTGTTCAGTGCTTATTTTAGTTATTTCTAATACTGTAAGTTTTCTAGATAATCATGGCCACACATCGCATTTTTCTCACACCCACTATTTTCACACGGTCCAGTTTACGATAACTGTGGGAGGACAGAATCTGAAGACTTCTGGGATTGTAACAAAGCATCAATAATATATTACACATTTTCTTCAAATCAAAATATACAAATTTAAAAAGTAGGAAAAGATACACAGCCAAACGTAACCCTAAGTTACAAGATGGGGATTTGTCAAATATTGTTTCCTTTTTGATTATGCCATATATTATTTTTACAATCAGAAGTGAGAGAAACGTGTCAAATACAACCTCACCTTTGTCAAAAATGAATAATGTGTTATTTGTGATTCAGTGAGGTGCGTCATTGCTCCAAAGTAATTTTTCTTCTTTTGTTGTTGACTATAGTTTCGGAGTCACTTGTGTTTCTCTTTACCAAGGACATGTATTGCACACAGACCTCCGTAGTTTGAAGATTTATCACCGATTTGAATGACAGAACAAGGTGCTTTTGCAGCGCTCAGGCTGTTCACCTTGAGTACAACAATCCAGGAATTATGACTCCAAATTGACTGTGCATTCTTTCCCTTTCATAAACAACATGCCTGAAGTCACTGGGATTGTCTGGATCAACGTCTTTATGGCTCTTTTTGTTCTCATGCCTTCTTTGATCCATTCTTAAACATTTTTTTTCATTGGACGGTGAGGCCGGAACATTCTGCACTGCGTCTGACATGTGTGGTTCAGTACACCCAACGGGAAGGGCAGTGTTTACAGTTTTATCGTTTTGCACAGTCCTTACTGATGATATTCATAATTTTTTGATCCAAACTTGTTTTCCAAGGTTTCACAAAACTCTTCATGTTGATTATGAGATGGCCGGTCCTCCAGACGTCATGTCCAGCAACTATATAATCCAAACCTGAGAAGAAGAAAAGACTATTTAGCATGATTTGTTTTATAACTTACAATATATTCACTTAACTTAAGGAGAAGAGTGGGATTTAATAAGCTTTGACTTCTTTTTACTCCTTTTGAACATGAATAAGTTGTTGACATTTTATTGTTTTATTGTTGTCTTGTATTCATTGTCGTGTTTGTTCTTATTCTGTTGTTTTTATTCCATGCTCAAATAATCTTTAATTTATTCAACAATTTTGACATTAGCAGAGCCCTATAAAATCCACAACATTAAGAAACTATTAAAAAAATACATTTAAAACTGTACTGTGAGGCCAGGCATGAATGTGTCTCTGAGAAAATGATTATTGCAAAGTGTTAGTCTCGTAAAAAGAGAGGTGGCTCTAATCTTCAGGCTGTAAATGTCCACTTTAAATGAGCAATGGCAGTACATTGGCACGCATCCAAATGGTTTACGCTTCAGCAGAAAAGAACAACTATTCAGCACAAAACCTCTGCACCATTAGAAGTGTCAGAGGTGGCTTGAATACAGTACGCAATTGTTTATTACTCAAGACGGCCTATCAATAAATCCAGCACTCATCCATGTGTTTGTGTGCTGTGTACCCGGGTGGAGGATGGGACACGTGCAGCCCTGAACGGTCCAAGATTCAGGGTAAAGGGTGACGTTTCCTCTCGGGGTTTTCAGTCCGCGTTTGCCGTACAAGACCTTTTTAACCTTCACCTCCACTTCGGCATGGGAGCCTTTGTCATGGGCAGCCGTTACTTTCACCATCAGGACTAAACAGAGACAAAATGAGAAGGGGTTAAACAGATTTAGATTCATTTCATGAGCCATTTGCATATTGGAATAAATTTGCAAAAGTCCCCAGGCTGAGGTCTTGAGAGAAAAACTCAGGGAGGATAGAGAAACAAGTGAGCAGAGCTTTCAGGCTCCAGAAATGTTAAGAAATAATACATGTTTTTTATATTTTGTTTTGATTCAACCTTTATTTAACCAGGAAAGTCCCATGAGATTAAGAACCTATTTTTCAAGGAGAATGTAATTAAAGGTCCCATAAAATGCTTTTGGACTTTTCTCTGCTTTAAATGTCATTACAGTGCAATTTGACCTTCACACATGCCCAGAGTTGTTTTTTCATTGATTCTCTCAAGCTTTAGTTAGAGAACAATCTTTCTCTTTCATTCTCGAGAGGCAGCAAAACGACTCGATTCACTTTGTTACGTAGCGTCACTTTGTTACGTGGCACGAGCTCCAGAAGCCCCGCCTCCAGGAGGTGATTGACAGGTGAGTGAAAACAGCGAATCAGACTGTCCCAGTGTATGGTCCCGTGTCTGCCACAGTCTGTGTTTGCTTCGATACTTTTAGTCGCTATTGACAGCGGCTAAAAGTGTTAACATCATGTCAACTTGGGGAAAGTGTGTTTTTTGGTGTAAATATGTGAATTTGGCTTGAATACGAGGAATGCGCGAGTGACTATTTACCTGTGAAAGCGAAATAGTTCTGTGTTTACAACGTGAGGCTACGTCACCGTGCTCCTTTCCACAGAAAAAGGAGCACAGATCCAAGCATTTCAATAGAGGTGACCTCACCTCTATGCATAAGTTATACGTTTTGAGTGTTGTAAGGTGTATCACTCAAACTATTGTCACACATGTGATTGGGATGGGCCGTGAAAAATTAAGAAAGAGCGAAATATGGGACCTTTAAGTATACTGTGAATCGTACCGCAAATATTTATATTTCAAATTGATTTGTCTACAACGCACTAAACGTCACCTACCATAGTCATATCCAGCTGCACAGAAACTCCTAGGATTAGTGAGAGTCGGCTCGGCACAGTCACACTCCTCTGTCATGAGGAAAGAACACATGTTTAGAGCAGAGACATTGTTATTCGTATGTGTGCCGTCTTTTTGAATGGACGGCTCTGGTCTTCGCTGTGGTCGACCGTGATGGATGTGACCGTACCGGAGTGGTGCAGTGCAGAGAACAGCTCCTTTGGCCTGAAGAGCGCAGTCTCACTGTTATTGCTGCGGTGGTCAGTGGCTGTGAACGGGACCCCCACATCTGAGCTGCAGAGGTGAAACCAGCATTACTGAAGGTCAGAGGAACCATCACAAGGCTTGTATCCATGATTTTGTTGATGTAGACGATTCCACATTATTAATTATAGTGTGTAAGAGTTTTAAGGGTATTGAAGCTGCATATGTAGTGTCTGAGTAATGTTGTTTAGTTTTAATTGAACTATACAGCCTGCACTCTTACCATTTCACAAATAGCTACAACAATTACAACCGCACCTGGATTGCTAAGGTATTAAAGCTGAGGTACCTCACTTTCAAACCACAAAAAATGCAACTATGTCATAAAATGCATCTATCTATCCATCACTTGATTTCCCCAGTGTGCTATGTTTTGGACTCTGTTTTGGCCAACTTTAGATCAGCTCAATCTCATTTATTTTTGCAAAGCCCTAAATCACAACAATAGTCATCTCAGAGGACTTTACAAAGTCGCCAAGACAGATCAGAGAACAGTTTAAACACAGGAGATGCAATGATACAAAACACATATATCCATTAAGGGGACAATGACCAATATTCATAAATGTTAATAGATGTTCATAAATATCATTGAATGACGAATGTCTTGGATCATCACCACCGTCCTTTGACCCTCCTGCATCGCATCAAATGGTGAATCACAGGAATCTTTCTTACACATTTTGTAATAAGATAAACCCTGTAGCTGTTTACATGTTTTTACTTTTACAAAGCTCTCTGGTGGTATAATTCATGAAAACATATTTGGTACCTCAGCTTTAAATTCCCTAAACAAAGATTGTCTTAGATGCCTCATACACATAAGTTGTAGTTGTTCTAGTTTATTTACAGCTGTACAGGGGTGGAAAACACCTAAATGCAGCATTACTCACTCAGAGAAACAGTCTCCGGTGTATGGATCACAGTCCCCTGTGCAGTCACAGGGTCGGCAGCCATATTGTCCGAGTCCCCAGTATCCCATCATGCATCTGTCACAGCGAGGGCCGGCCGCTCCGGGTTTACAGGTGCACTCTCCGCTGCTGGGGTCACAGACAGGACCCCCGGCTGAGGCAGAGCCCAGAGGGTGACACAAACAAGCTGCAGTGATGAGGGATGAGAGGACACGCTCAATGTTAATATCCTTCACCTCAAATATCCTTTTCACAACACAGTCCAGTGAGATACAAGACTGCACACAGCACACTTGTACCGTTGTTTTTTCAACTGCCAAACACTATTGGCCATCTGTAACCAACCATGTGTTCTGAAGCAAATGTTTCTGAGCGGCAGTAGCTCAGTTGGTAGAGCGTTGGCCTTTGAGCCAGAGGGTCGTGGGTTCAAGCCCTGCTCAAGACTTTCACCATCGACTCCCACTGTCTGCTGTTGTTGTGTCCTTGGCAAGACACTTAACCTCTGGGAACACCAGCCACAGTGGGGCGGCTGTAAAGTGCCAAACTGCCGTTGTGTCCTTAGGCAAGACACTTCACCCCCATTGCCTGGAATGAGTCGTGTGTGTGAATGGTTGGTGTTGGTCGGAGGAACCAATGGCGCATACTGGTTGCCTCGCTTCTGTCAGCTGTGGCTACAGTAGTAGTTTATCACCACCATGTATGGAGTGAATGAATAATGACACATGTGAAGCGTCTTTGAGTGTCCAAAAAAGCGCTATATAAAACTGATGCATTATTATTATGTTTATCATGAAACTGCTTTAGCGTATGTGCAGCTTAAGGGGCAAGAATGTGAAAAATGTGCGTTCATGGACCAAAGGACATTCCTGCATTGTTTTCAATTATGTTTGTGTTACAAGACGAGCCCCTATCATTCCTGCGGTGCTGCAGACTGGAGTCCTGTGACTCTTATCAACGTGGGCAAAGCGAGGCAAACCTATCAGAGGAACTGATCTGCATTAGCTCACATCACATATACTCTGCTCACAGTGGATTCTGCTCACACATGGATTCTGGCAACCAGTCAAAAAATGTTTTAGTCATAGGGAGAAACAGGAGAAAGCTTGGCCCACCCTGTACCATTCCTTTCACCACACAAACAATTGGTCAATGAGCCATTTTAAGTTGGATTAAAAAGCCAAAAGATAAAGGGGCAGATATAAGGTAAAGGGTTTGCATTATTGTATAACTTTAAAAAAAAAACTTTGAAGAGGCTCATTCCCACTGAGCAAAAACAAGTCTATTTTGCCCAAAATACCCTGGATAGCCTCTTGCTAACACTGAGCAACACCAGCGCAAGTTTCAGAGCGATTTCAACTCGCTTTATAAGGTAGTGATTTTGCTGACTTGGCGGCACGGTGGCTGAGCGGATAGCACTCTCGCCTCTCGGCAAGAAGGTCCTGGGTTCGAATCCCGGTTGGACCAGGGCCTTTCTGAGTGGAGTTTGCATGTTCTCCCCGTGTCTGCGTAGGTTTCCTCCGGGTGCTCCGGTTTCCCCTACCGCTAAAAATATGTACAATAGGTCTGGCATGTGCCTCCTGTACTGGCACCCCCACTCCCAAAAATAACAATTGCAAACCGCTTTGAGACTCCGATGTGCAGTGAAAAGGCGGTATATAAATAAAGATTACTACTACTACTACTACTGAAGCATGTTCAGTATGAACACTCTGACCAAATAAAGCCGTAATTGATATTTATTTATCAATATATTTTTATTTTTTTTTATGTATTAATTTCTTCACATATTTTTTTATTATTTCGAACCTGCACAAAACATATTTTTAAATATATCAATATAACAGACAAATAACTTGTACCTGGTTCGGGGCCGGGTGAAGAAAATTCTAATTAATTCCAGCCCCATCACACACGTGAAGAACACTACACACTAGTCGTATGAGGGACAATATTTTGCGATAGGACAGCGTAAAAAGCCATTAACATCCACTTGTGAATAAATATGTTTGGAAATGTTTGATCTATGGATCCTGTGCTTGCATATGAGTCCTTAAGAAACTCTAAATAAAAATTTATAAAATAATCCCTCTGTAGTTTATAATGATTATAATGGGATTCCCTGGAGTCCTGGGTGTGACCTTTGGAGACTTATTTAGAAAGTAAGACTATTATTTTGACAACACAGATACAAAAAACACGCCAACCTTTCCCTCTATTTCCCCGGGGTTGATATAGTATTTCAACACGGACCAAAAAACTTAAGGGTCTGCAGTATGAAAACATTAATGTATATGTAATTTGAAATGTTATTTATTGTATTTAATTGCAGCTAATCAGCGAGTGTGTTTCCAAGGACAGTAAAACCAAGCCTCAAATACACAAAGTAAAACTGCAGATAAAACTGGGGGAAAAAGGACAAATATCTTACGTTTACAGGAATCCAGGGACGTTTTGTGCAGAGTTGGGTCCCTGTAGAATCCCCTTCTACAGACTTGACACTGGTGGCCTGCAGTGTTGTGGAGGCAGTTGTCGCACACTCCTCCGTTCCTCCGCCCCGACTGCAGCCACAGCTTACGGTCCAAGTGGCAGCTCTGAGCGTGGCCATTGCACTTGCACTCTGGGAGCAATTACACACAGTATTACACACACTATTGCAGAGGTCTTTAAAAACTGTATAATTGAACCATAAAGGGAATGCACTGTAAAAAGGTGAAGCCAATGGGACAAGCTAAATTATCTTGTTTTAAAAAGATACACGAAAAGCCAAATAAAATGCCAGATAAAAGCCAAAATATTTACCACTAATTAAAAATAGTGAAAACCTAAAACTGTAGAACTTAATTAATTAGTCTCTTGAATGGGAGCCGTTAAATGACTGCTCTGGGTGTTCTAGTAGTTTCAGAATTCTCAACCATTTGGTGGATCACTTTTTGAGTCACTATATCTACTTAAAGCTTGGAAATCTACCTCATTGGGGCATCCCTCTATCACTTGATTTTTGCCATTTGGTAAAGGCATATAATAAAAATAATACAAAACTAGGGGTTAAAATAAATAAATACATGAACATGAACAAATTATTAGTGCTCCTACATCCTAGAAAATCAAGGAAAAGAAACAATTACATTGCATTCTTCAAGGAGTGAACAACAAAGGGTTAATTCTACAGTACAATCAAACTGATTTAAATGCAGACGTAGTATATACTCTACATTAACTTCTTGTCCTTATCTTTTTGCTCTGCATAACTTGACTGTATTGTCTACTATCTGTGCCATTGCCTGAAATAAATGAAGAAAAAAAATATATAGCTAATTTAAATAGAACAAGGTGAGGATGCTTCCATGAGAGCCTGTGTAGTATCTGCAGATGATCAGCCGCAGTGTGAGGATGGCTTGTGATCTCTGTGATGTATTTGATTGTTCAGACGGGTCCCCATGCTGCGGTTGGACCATCACTCACTCTGGCACTCCTGTGGGCTCCCGGTGACACCGTTGGCCGCCTGCCACGGTCGACTGTTGTAAAGAGGAGCACATCGTTGGCAGTGGTCGCCGGCAGTGTTATGGCGACACACACATTTCCCGTGGACCTGGAAGCACATCAGGACAATACAGTATGAAGGGTGCATCTGAAATACAGACTGTGACGACTCATGGGTGATTTTGAACAAGAAATATGACACACTCCAGGAAATTTTAAGGATAAAACAAGCAAAAAGATACTTGTGTTTATACTGTAACTTGATATTATCTATGATTAGTCAGATTTTATACTTAATTCTTGCTTCTTTTTATGCTTAGAGGTTTTAGATTTGCTTCCTTATTATGCTAAAGCTAGAGTTTATATTTTATGTTATTTTAGTATACAGTTACTGTTCATTTGTCCTGTGTTGTGTGCTCCTCATTGCTACTGTTCTGTGGTGATGCAATGCTGAAATTTCCTCACAGTGCGACGAATAAAGGATCTCTTAATCTCATTCCCCAGCATATTAGAATACTGAAGACAAGAGCAAGGAATACTCTAAGAAAACTCTATAATCACTATAATTATGTTATTTTTACAAAAACTTTGAGACATTGAAAAGTCCTTTTCGAGGGCTTATAAAGTGCATTTTATGACAAACAATGTTAAAATGGTTTCTATAGTTTGGTAACTTGGTCAACTTCATCATTCTGTATTTGCAGCAGAAACATTGTAACCAGTTATGAATTAAAGTATAAAAATATAGAAGATTAGACATCACTTTTTTGATTAAATATTTGCACTTTTAAGAACAAATTTCCACTTGACTGACATAAAACTATAAGACTAAAAGTTCCATGTCAGCAAACAAAAGTCCTGTTTTTATTGTCTTCTTGTCTTAAGAGGATGTACTTTTGTGTTTTTGTTTTACGTTGTGTTCTTTTTGTGTGTTCTTGTTGAAGGTTGCTGTTGAAGGACATGATAGAAAGAGGCAACTTGTATAAGCATCTCCCTTTTAGATCAAAACTGCCTGTAAAAATGCACGGTTTTAATAACATTTAAAATCCCACTGTTATGCAACCGTTCTGTTATTTATATATAGACTATGAACACAAATAAGAGCTAGGCTGACATGCCCAAAACAGTAAAGAGCATTACATAACACAGAGGGGTGTTAAAGCATTACAGTAAAATCCATAATTACTATTTCCACCTCTGTGAGCACAGTAATAGCAGGTGAGGCTCTTTGCAGAAACATAAAACTCCTGCCTGCTGTTTCACTATATTTATTCTGAATATTTCCACAAAACAAAACAAAATCTCAGCAGAAAAGGAGCATTGTTAGGTGATTGTTGATATGCTTACCATGTTGTTGGCTCTCCTGTGGTGCGAGCCGGCTGGCACACAGTGGTCCGCATGGCCGTGGCAGAGGCAGCTTCCCTTCACTATAAAGTCATAAATGGCGTAATGTTTTGTGGGCAGTTCTGTGGAGTGTCTGGCCTCGCAGGGGCAGGGCTGGCGCTGGAGGAGTCGCACCCTCAGGTTAGTCACGGTCAGCTGCTCCAGAGCGTCCGGTCCATAGGGGTCCAGGGCACTGCCAGGGGAGAGGGCCCTGTATATCACCTTTGGAGATGGAAGAAAGGTAAAATTCCTTTGGATAGTGGATAGAATTATATTAGGCATAAAATTCGGGTCTCCAGTAGCAGATATCATTGTGGTTCTCAAACTAGGGCCCCAAAATATCTCCCCAAAATGTCAGACACTTCTATATATACAATATAAACATGAGATAATAACACAACTTTATTCACTTATAAGCTGGGGTATCACATATTTCTGTTAAATAATAAAAATACGTTTTGTTTTTTCTTACAAAAAGAGTCTTGTAAAAGTGACAAAAATCTGAGCACAACACAAAGTATGTGCATGTGTGCATGTATGTACATATTTTACATATTTTTTGATGTATTGTATATCTTCTGTGTATTTAGGACCAGTCACGTGACAGTCCTTGCTCACGTGACTGCATCTTTAAAATTGCTACCAGGTGTGTCTGGATTTTATGTCTGACGAAGGGCCTCAGCCCGAAACGTAACAGTTTTTGGTGTGTAAATAAAATACACTTATTGGGAGCTACATAGCTGTGCGGATTTTTTTCACTGTTTTTACGTCTTACATTCTTTTAATCCAGCACGCTAGCTCAAACTACAGGAATGTGCGGCCTTATTTGAAACTTTTTCACAACACAAAGTAGACAATGAGATCATAAACCCAAGTTCACAGTGTCATCTAGCCAACTTCCATTCAGCCAATGTAGACATGTTGTAAAGCACAAGACATATACAGATGGTTTCCTCATTTAAAAGCTCAGAACAGCCCGAATCCACTCAATACGTGCTGCCGGCCCATGAACTAAAGTGGCCCTCTTACTTAAAAGTTTGGACACCTCTGCGCTATTAGATTAGATAATATTTTGCATGCTTAAGATACTTGTAAGAAAGAGCCCTGTGAGTCACTATTTGGTGCTTTGTTCTGTGAGCTGATCTAAGTGAGATGATCGTCCTCTCTTTTTCACTTTTCTGTCGGAAAAAGCTAATCTTAAGATGTGGCAGGGGTTAATAATACATGCACTATAGTTTTACATACATATGAAAACTAGTGATGGACGTTCAGACTGGGAGATTGGGAGACATGGTGCCTTGCCAAACTGAGTCTGAGTTCAAAGAGAGCTCTCAATCCTGAAATTTCAAGCTACTGTTCATGCAGCAACCCTCCTCCTCATCATCGGCTCTGCTTCCTTCACCACCAGGGTTTAGGCCCCAGGGGGTTCGCATGTCCATCATCTCTGTTCGATTCCCCCATGCACACATCATGCAATATTTCTGCCGGGGTCGAAATGTCAAATCTTAAGGAACAATTCATGTTAAAATGCATGAAATATATTCGGAACTCATCCTGGGTCTGCCGAGGTCTAATTGTCTAATCATGCAACTAGAGTATATTCATGCAAACATGTCAATAAATCTAATTCTAATGCAATCTTTGTCTTGAGTCTTTCCAGATTGAACGGTTTTGAAAGCGAGGACCTTGTTATATAGATTTTATTGCAAATTTACTTTTTTCAGTGGAACTTTCCCACTGCTTTAATATTTTAAACATGGCGTCTGTTCTAACTGCCACTGGCCTAAATTATAATCTTATTTAGGTCAGTACCAACAAGTGTCTGGGTTTTGCTCATAAAGTTGAGTTGGAAAATGTACCCGTCTCCAAAGTAAACATGACATACTTATCTCTGTTCGGAGTCGTTGGGTTTAAAAGTCATATTTTTACGACTCTTTCATGTGTGGATGTGGTCATTACTTTCCATTAACCCAAGGAATTTACTGCCACATATAATAAAGACTTCCCAGATCTGTAAGACCATGAAGCCTGCGTTCTTGTCAATGTTCATTTGAATGAATCTACTACACATCAAAAGTTATTATAATGCATAACTTGTTCTTTTCTCAAATCCCTCATTTTGATTTCACCAGACAGCATAATACAGATGAATTTAAATGGACCATTTATCAATCAAAGATGACTCTGGGCTGTTGAGAAACACCAAAACAAACTAAATAGATTGCCGCATTTATGCTATTTTCTGTACTGACATCATTATCATGGCATTATGAGATCAGACATCCAACTTGAATGGGTCTGGAGACATCTGAGGCAGTTTTTCTCAGCATCACTAACGACATGTGTTTATAGTTCAGTGGAACCTGCTTAAGGCGTACGTTCTCTTCACACATTGAAGATATCTAAAGCTGAAATTAGTAGCATGTGGAGTCTTTTAAAAGTATTGGGTGTTTATAGATCCATGGTGTTTTTATATTATTTGAAAAAACATATTTGTCAGTTCCAATTTGAAGCTTTGGGCTGAGAGCTGATTGGCTGAGAGAGGGTGGTCTTCTTCATTCTTCTTTATGAAAAAGCAGATATGAAGCCCAAGAAAGACCTGCACGGGACAACTGATAGAATTTTTTTGAGAGTGAGGATTTATAGTTATAGGACTTTTTTTGTTGTGGTTGAAAGTTAGGTATTAATTTAGGTTAAGTATTATCATCAAGTAAGAAAAAAAGAATTAAAAAAAAGAAATATTCTTTCCTCTATGTTTTTACTCTGCTATTCCCAATGGACTCCTGTCTGAAGATCTGCAGTCGCAGCCTTTTTTACGCTTTCATCTTTAACCACTAGATGTCACTAATTTATTTTTCACGCTTTAAGTTTATCCCCATGGATCTATTATAGGAACCCATATTATACATCCATTATAATTAGCCCTCACTCATTAAAGGCTAATGAAGTGCTAAACTAGTGTATTATATGTGGTTAGTTAGCTCTTAATTGGTATTTATTAAACACTTTTTAGTCCTTATTCCATCTAACTATTAACCTTCCAATGTGGGTTAGGGTTAGGGTTTGGGCACACTAATTAGCACTTTATTAACTGTTAATTCGTGAGGGCTAATATAAAGTGTTAAAGAAACCATTGACCCACCTCTCCTCTGGTGCACGGGAAGGCTCCGGAGTACTTGGAGCTGCATGTGGTCCCATTCCTCCCTGATGACTGACCCTCTCTGACTCCAAACACCTCTTCACAGTTTTTGGCATAATACTTGAGCACCGTCCACGTCCTGCCGTGGTCCTGGGAGCGCTCCAGCATCATCCCCGCGGGCCGAGGCGAGCGGAACACTAGGATCAGGTGCGTAAAGACAAACTTGGTCTCCAGGTCCAGCTGCAGCGTCTCCCCCTGCGCCCCCTCCGCAGACTGCCACCAGGTGTGAGGGAAGCGGAAAGAACAGTCGCTCATGGCCGAGGGAGGATGCGCAACTGCGGGGATCGCGGCGTTGCACTTGCCGCACTTTGGCCTGGCGCAGAAATCCTTCCCGCTGCGAGTGGGGAAAGTTTGCTTGAAGAAACAGAACGCGTCAGAGGAGTTGGTTCCACATACGGACTGAGTGGTGATGCGTCTGCCCACTGCCAGGTTCCCCATGCGCGGGTTGCAGGCGCGTCCGGAGCAGCGGCTGGAGACAGATGAACCCCTGGGTGCAGACAGAGCTGAAGAGCGTTCGTGAGTTAAAGACGCATTCCTGTCTTAATGCTTATCCTGCAAAAAAACACACACACACACACACACACACAACGCACACAACCAAACTTAACCTTTAACTTACCTGCCAGGAAAAAAGAGCATGCGTAAAACCAAACGATCATCTTGATGTGGAGGAGAGTCTTCTGCGTCCAGGCTGCCAGTGTCAAAACTAAACTTACAGCACTCGATCCTCATTGACATGTGGAAAAGGGGACTCCATCTTCGACCCCGCCTCTTTCTGGTTTTCTCAGATTGACCCCTCCCACGCACCGTGTAAATACAGTGGATATGTAAACAATCTGTGGTGAGATTAGAGCACATTCATACACGAGATATGGAATCAGCAATAGGCTCTAAAATACCACAAAACCCAATGTTTGTTTGTGTTCTTTCTATTTTGTTCAAGGTACAGTTGTTGTTAAGATTTCATTGTTTTGACCATATTTTGGAGATTATGAATCCTCGTTAGCGGTTGAGTGAAGCTATACTGACAAAAAACATGTTTGTATTCTAAAATTATACCATGATCAATGAGGATCCCAATGCAAATTACCATTGATTGATTCTGTTTAGATCTCATGTTAAAGGTTCCATATCACTCCACCTAAAAGGAAACAGTTCTCTTACAGTTTGTATTAAGATATCTGTACAGGTCTATCATACAGCAAGATGTTGAATTAAATATGCTAAATATACTGTATATTGATTTATAAAATCCCTGAGTTAAATATAGAGCTACTTTGCTTTTTTCCTCTATACGTGTGTCTTCATTTTTGTCAACGGTTGCTATAGAGTTTTGGCTGGGCGTGCTTTCCTCTGAGAATATAGAGGACACAATAAATATGTCTATGAGTTATGAGCGAGTTATGTCGTTCTTTTCTTCAACCAGAAAAGAGACTGCTGGTTACCATAGCAACACACTGTTTACTAGCAGCAGTTAGCATTTGTTAGCAGTATTTCAAGTTACATCAAACAGTTTTAGCATTTGTTAAAGGTAAAACCATAGAAATGACTTAATTTTCTAGTGTTTTTTGGGATTCTTACAAAATGTCATTGATCGAATGGGAGCTGTCAAAATGAATGGATATCTAACACAACATTCTATAAGACACACACATTAGTCTCATTCTTCATTTTGATTCAATAAAAGACACTAATATAAAGTGTTTTTACTCTGATATAAAAGTGCATGTCCCTTTAGTTGTTGTTGCATCTTTCTTTGTCACACTCGGTCGCACATATTTAACAATCATAAAGTCATATATTTCTGAAATGACACAGTGCAGGTGTTTGAGTGAGTGTTGTTGGTGCAAGTCGTCACTAAACTTTAATGAGATCTCGTCCTCTCTTACCTGCTCCTCAGACACTCCACAGCCCCAGCGCTCGGGGCCATTGCACTCCTGGAAACTTTGACCTCGCGAAACATACTTTTAATACTTCTATGGTGACTTCATCCATCGTGAGTCAGACGAGACACTGTCAAGATTCAGAACGCTTGTCTGTGGAACACTCCCTGTTGTTAAGAAGATTTATCGTGGCCATTTGACACTGTTAACTTGTTAAACTGTCAAGCGAGAAGATTGAGGCTGGATATAAGGGATCTATTTACTCTCTGATTCGGTCAAACTAAGAAAGGACAAAAACATTATTCCACTAAACAAAACAACATGTACAGTAGTTAAAAGTTGGTCAGTTTGAAATGAAAGCAGAACTCATTATTGTTTTTGTTTAGTGCTCATTAGACTTTACTTTTCATCCCAATTTGGCCCTATATTTTTACAAGACAACTCTAACCCGAATCCTAACCCAAAAAGACAGAAGTGTGCAAACATGTTAAGGTTAAAGGTTAAAAATATAGTCAATATATCTTCTTCGTTCCTGATGTTAATGATGTCAACGGGGTCACAACTCCTCCGATGTAATCAAATGTATGACTATATATGAAGCTAAATGACAGGTCTGTATGACTCAAACCTGCATGAGTCTTCTGCTGCTGGACACCTAAAGTTCTCCCATATGGGGGATCAATCACGTATCTATCTATCTATCTATCCATCTATCTATCTATCTATCTACTTTGCTGAGCTGTAGCTTCAGTAGTGTAGAACTAGTACTTATATTTACAACACATGTCATTCCACCAGAAAATGACAAAAAAGAATGTTCGAATGTATTGTATCATATGTACTATAAATGTCTGGTGTGGAAGATTGTGTGCATAAGAGTCTTCTGTGTATGCTGTGGGCTTGAATCGATTGTTTAAATAATTATGGAATTCAGTAATTGTTTTTTGTTATTGTTGTTTTGCACAAAGGCTCCACAACAATTGGTGGTGACTCAAACAGAGCAGAAATATGTCAAAATTACACACATTTTATTTACTAATGTATCGCTTTTATTCATCCTTAATTCCTTCATTATGCTAAAGTTGGAGATTTTAGATTGCTTCCTTGGTCATTTATCTTGTGCTGTGTGCTCCTCATACGTACTGTTCTGCGACTGGAGATGCAACACTGAAATTTCCTCACTCTGATCTCTTAATCTCTTTAGTGAACAGATTGAGTATTGTCTGAATAGCCTTCACAAAGCTTGGTCTGTCTGTCTCACATTTAATAAATATCAAATTTCAATAGTTAACAATTCAAGTATGTAAAGTTGGGTTGCCTATTCAGAATATTAAGCAATAAACATTTGTATGATTCAATGCGGTGCAATGTGTTGATTTGTTATGGTCAATGCTTCTGAAATGGTTCTCACGTGTTGCAGGTTCTGTCAAATCTGACCCATTTCTCTTTAAAGCACAGGTTTTAACTTCACAGATATGTGAAGTGTTATAGAATTATATACCCCATGAAGGAGAAAACTCAAAGGTCCTTTGTCTGATCAAAAGCGTAAGTTTATTGTTAACGCACAGTGCGGAGAGCCAGCACATACACTCCAAAAGCAGCATGTCCCAGCTCTGGGGGCCAGAGCCCCGAGCTTCCTGTATACAAGACACACACCAAAGATAGTCACGCCCACAACGGAGCAGAGGGGGCCACCGGTGAGGAGGCGCACAGGAAGCGCCGGCGCTATCCCCTGTGGTGGCAGTGGCATGGGGTGTGAACAGACAGACAATGGTGGAAATGCAGGTCATACAGATGCAAGACGGAAAGACACAAGGGTGTGACAGACAGCAGGGACCTTCACAAAGCTCAGCATGGCGTCAGAAGGTCGTCTGCATTGATAAAAGGCCTTTGACGTCCGTGTATTTGCTGCGGCTGGTTTTAATGTAATTACTCCAAAAACTGTCACCACACTCCCCTCTTTTGATAATTCAAAACCATTTTTGCATTAATCAGTTAAATACCAGAGGCATCGTAATCACACCACCTTCAAGCTTGAAACACTTAAATTATTGCTGTCCAAAGTGGACAAGAAAAGACACATGCTTGTCAATAAAAGAAAGAGCACATTATAATAACACAATGGATCCGGACAGCGATAAGAGAAGGCAATATTAACATAATAAACACGGTCAGCACGGAAAGTAGTAGTCAGTGTGGCCAGCATAACAGTCCAAGGGCCCATGCCGGTCTTAGCCGGGCTACGTTCGGTAGTCTTTTCCGCGGGAATACTCACGAGCAGTGCCGTCTCGCAGTCAGTGGCACCGCTCCCTATGAGCGTGTGTGGAGCGTTAGTGGTCATGGCGATGTTTGGTCTTGGAGCGGCAAGACTCTAATTGCGTTGAAGCCTTGGCCTCAGCACTCGGTTGGGCAGAGTGCTCGGGGTTTGGGGTGTGGAGACCATGGCTTGAGCACGCTCCAGATCGGCCAGGCCCAAAGCTCATTTGATGGGAGACCTCATGACAGCACGCTTCACCATGTGCCTCATCAGGAACTGTAGAGCAGCCCTCATCTCCACCTCCTCCGGACACACGGGAGACGAGACACCAGGGGGGCACTCCAGCAGAGCTCAAATCTGCATTATGGCCAGAGGGAACAAGCTCTGGAGAAATCTTTGGAATGGGCAGCAGCTCTGCATACTTGCTGCAGCTGAGCAGAGCGCTCAGGGCCTTCATGGCTCCCAAGCCTTGGGATCCGGGGGCTGGGGAGTTGGGCAAAAGGGGGGTCGCCTCGGGAACGCTGGGATTCTCTGGGTGTTGTTGTTGGCCTGCTTCACCGACGGTGGCCGCACGCCGGCCGACTTCTTCATCGTAGGGAGCCGCGGATGGGCCTGGTCCGTCCGCGCCCTCGGTGTCCTCGTCTATGGCCCTCAGTGGCAGCACCGCACGACAGTGGTTGGCGTGGATCCAAGTTGTCCTCTCCGCGACCTTAACGGCAGTGTCCGTCACCAGGAGGGCGAGGAATGGGCCGAGCCAGCGCTTGGACCGCCAGTGCTTTCGTCTCGTTTCCTTCACCAGGACCCAGTCGCCTGCGCAGCCTGTGGCAGGGCGCTCCTGACCTGGGCAGAAATAGAGGACAAAAGTGCATTAATTTCCTTACAATAGGACAGCATGTCGTCATCACACAAAGAGGTGCTTGGCAGATCTCTGTTCGGGGGTCCCTCGCCCAAGTTGGGTGGTCTGGCACAGAGGATTTCGAATGGGACTCTCATGCGCATGTACATGAGGGCTAGCGGCAGAGCTTTGAGTGCCATTCTCTCGCTCGCACGCGCCTCCGGGCCAGGGGGCGTAACTGCAGTGTTTACGTATATCAATGCCCAGAAATTCACCCACTTCCTCAATGACTTTTGCTACAAAGTGGCTGCCAGTGTCACTAGAGATTTTTTTCTCGGGGCACAATTTTTGTGAGCAGAGCTTTCACCACCGCGTTGCTTGTGGCGTGTATGCCTGCAAATACTTCAGTCCATTTGGACCAGAGATCCGCCAGAACCAGACAGTATTACTTACCTTGGCATGGTGTGAGTTCAACAAAGTCCCTTTGGACATGTTGAAATGGGCGCAGGGGCGGAGGATGAGCAGCCTGTTGGATACTTTTGGGACTTACCTGGGTTGTGCGCGGGGCATATAGCGCATGTTTGGCTGAATCTCTGTGCAAATGCCGTAAACCCCTTTGTATACCAATTTTGTGTGATTAAATCACACATCATCCCTCCTTTTGAGGCATGGTCTCGACCATGT